TTCATCTGGTTCTAATTTGTAAAATTATTTACATATTGATTAAAAATGTACAAATTATATCTAAAATCTACGACCTTGCTTCTGCAAAAGATGTTATTAATTAAATTTATATTCACTATGGGAGTTATAGTAGCACGGGTTCCTTTATGAATGAATAAAGAAGCAAATTAAGGACCATTACTACAGAGTTTCGTTCAATATGTAAAGCATAATGAACGTTAATGTTATCCCTAATTTCAAAAAGATTTACCGAGCCAACATCAACAAAAAGCTTGTCATAGGCGGGGACTTGAAGAAATTAATATGCTTTTTTTGCAGATGTTGAATAGTACATGAGAATGTCCTAAAATGGGCCCTCATTTTGTTTGTTCCTAATACATTTATACTTGAAGTCAACATTTACTAATAATACGGAACAGTTATTTATTCAAAATAGCTTTGAGAAAAACAAATATTAAATATGTAATATAAATTTCGTGCAAATTTTAAAATTACTCGATGCATTCGAAACATCGGCCTCTAAGAAAATTTACAAATCAATGCTTTATTAAATCAAAAATCACAGTTTAGTAACTTCAGTAAACTAGAAATAAAATAAAATTATTTAAGTACAAAAATAGCAAACGTGTCTCAGCTCCCTAGCATAGTTCGTGTGCCCACAAATTATACATAAGGCATTGAAGCCAAAGTTCTTTCTTTCTGTCTGCTTGAAACCGCCACTCACCAACTAGGCACTCTGCATCTTGGTGGTCTGTTATATCTTGCCTAACTTTCTCAAGGTCAACATCATCGGAAAGGAAAAATTGTTCAGATGCTGCGAAACTGCCTTCAATGCTGGTTTCGGATGTTTTGATTTCTTCTGGATCTTTCTTTTTTTCGGCAATGTTAAACCCTCATTCCCTGACTTTCCCGATGTTTTCCTTTTTACGCTTTCAAGTGTTTTCCTAAGAGTTTTATCGAAAGAATCTTGTGTCAATTTTATAGGGAGAAGAGGAAATTATTTGTGATTTGGAACATATTAATCCACAAATTTTGATGAAGTCTTCCTGGAGCATGACGCCGATGGCTCTATGGATTCTTTGTCAATAAATTTGTAAATCCGTTGTATTTTCGGGTACAATGATCTTGAGACTGGGGGTTATGAGCGCGAGGACTGATCAGGTGAAATGAGTAGCTCAGAATTTGCGTTCATGCTAACAACCGGTCACAAACCCGGATAAAAGAGGAGGGTTGATGGACCTGGTTAGCATCCTACCCATTGTAAAAGAAAACCAGGTTCAACGAACCGATATAAAGACTCGGAACCTAAGATGACGAACCATGCAAAGAAAAGGAAAACGAGAAGGAAAAATAAGTCCACAACCAGATTAGTCACATGAAACATGACTTCTTTTAACAACAAAGACCAAGAGATAGAAGAACTGATAAATAAAAACATAGACATTTGTGCAATCCAAGAGACTAAAAAGAAATGTAAAGGCCAAAGGGATTATAACCAATATTTTCTAGCATACACTGGAGTGAAGAAAGAAGAACGAGCACGAGCAGGCGTAGTTATACTTGTCCATAAAAAATTTAAAGACAACATAAATAACTGCCGTTATATCTCCGAGAGAATAATACATATGAACATCACAATGGACTACCAACAATTAAATGTCATATCTATCTATAGCCCCGAGGACTGCAAACCTAAGGACGAACGAGAGGCATTCTATGAACAATTGCAAATCATCCTGGATAAAATATGCACGAATCGGAAATAAAACAGTTCACGGAGTAAAACAAAGATTTGTTAAAAACCATGTCAACGCAAATGGAAAATAATACATTTTGCAAACAAAGCAGTTGGTAAGAAGAACAGGTTCTACGTTCTAGGTACACAAATACAAATATGGAGATTCATTAGAAACCAACGAAAAGAAATGGCAGAATTGAAGGAATACAATAACATACCAGCAAACGAATGGGAAAGATACCTGACGGAACTGTTTAAAGAAAAGGAAAATATTAATTAACACAATAACGTACCTGAATTAAGTCACGAAATCGAAATCAGTTTTCAGGAAGTAGAGATAGCCATAAATTCACTCAAAAATAGAAAATCATTAGGACCAGAAGGAATAACCAACGAGCTTCTACAACACGGACAAGAAAGTATAATCCTGACAAAACTTATACAACAACTAATATTGCACTGCAAGATACCAGACGCATGGAGAAACAGCATAATAATACCAATGTTCAAGAAAGGAGATAAAGAAGACTCCAACAATTATAGAGGTACAAATCTACTCAATTAGCTTACCGCAAAAGGCCAAGGTTCGATCGCATCCAAGTCGAAGACGTCTTACACCTACTGTGTAAAAGAAACATACAAGTCAATATTATAGAAACCATAGAAAACATCTACTTCCATATTCTAATACAGGCAAAGATAAATGGAAAACTAACATAATTTATACCAGTGCAAAGCAGAGTCCTTAAGCCCACTTCCTTTAATATAAGAATGGACGAAATAATACAAGCAGTACGTAAAGGTCCTGGTTACAGAATGGGGAACATGGGAAACCAAATATTATGTTATACAGACGACGCCGCATTAATCGCCGATATTGAAGACGAGCTCCAAAGAGTACCACACACCTTCAATACACAGCCAAGAAATACAATATGATAATATCAGCAGAAAAAACTAATTGTATGACAACATCTAACCCTATCTGTAAATGCTATGCGGAACATTCTTCGCAACGTCCATATTTAGAAGGTCTTTAACTTATTAATGGAAGGTACTCTTAACGTCCATGTTTCCATGCCGTATAACAATATGGACAATACATAGCATTTAACCATCCTGTAGCGGAGATTAAAGGAAAGATTGCGGTTACATAATAGCGGTTTAAATTTGATAAAAGCTTGTCTTGCTTGTTCGGTATGGCATTTTATTTCTTGTTGAGGATCCCATTGGTCATTCATCATGATTCCCAAGTATTTAATGTTTTTGTTATTTGATGTTATTTGAAGTATTGCCAGAGCAAGAAAAAGATTATGCGATAATTTAAACAATTTAGGAGGCTAATATTGAAGAAGAAACAGGCCTTAAAGCCTGCAAACAAGAAGGAAGAAGAAGAAGAAAAAAACAACAAGGAAATAGTACGTTTTGTTTTTTTTCAAAATCAGATTTCGCTTATACATTGTTACTTTATGATTAATACTTCTTCTTCTTCTTCTTCTTATTCTTTTTTATAAGCAAAATGCTTGTTCAATGTCGATTAATGCCTCTATTGGAGGTTATCACTCCATCTTTTGCGTGGTCGCCCGATACTTCTTCTACCTTTTGGTGATTTGTCCCTCGCTATTCTGACTAATCGGGTCTCTTCCATTCTGTTTATGTGTTCGTTCCATTCCTTTTTTCTGTTCAGTGTCCACTCATTTATTTCTGTTATATTGCATTTTCTTCTGATTTCTTCACTCCTCATTCGATCCCTCAGTGTGTTTCCTGTAATTCTCCTCAGTAAACGCATCTCCGCTGTTTCTAGTAGTTGCTGAGTTTTGGAGGTATCCGGTCTTGTCTCTGAAGTGTATGTCATTATTGGTCTTATTGTTGCTTTGTAGATTCTTGATTTCACGTCGGTATTAATGTGAGGATTGCGCCATATCGTGTTATTAAGACAACCTGCTATTTTATTAGCCTTTTGTACTTGATTTTTCACTTCCTTCTCCACATCTCCGTAGCTAGACAGTGTAATTCCTAGGTAGTTTATCTCCATTACTGTGCTGTTAGCTGTTCTGTTAATGCTTCTCCACCATATTTCAATAATTCATTTGGAATTCCATCTTTACCTGCAGTTTTTCTGTTCTTCAGTTTTTCTAAAGTTTGTTTTACTTCTTGTACGGTTATCTCGACTTCCTCGGTTTTAATGATTTCTGGTGTTTCTGGTTCTAACATCATTTGCTGTTCATCATTATAAAGCTTCTTTAGATATTCAATCCATGTGTCGTTATCTATGTGTTTCGGTTCGATTAAGTCTTTCATCTCTGATCTTTGGCCTCTTATGAAACGCCATATTTCCTTTTGTAGACCGTTAAAGTTGTGTTACCTTTCTTTTGAGAAGCGTTCCCAGTGTTCGTTTTTAATTTTTCTTACTAGTGTTATTGTTTCGTTTCTCATCTTTTGTAATTGTTGTATTCTTTTAGTGTTTTGTTAGACGTGTATCTTAAGTAAGCTTTCTTTTTTTATTTGCATTTTTCTTTCACTTCTGCGCAGAACCACGGAGTTTTCCGCTTTTGGAAATATTTATTTTTAAGAATTTTTCTTTCTCCTACAGCTTCTTTTGCTGAATCTAGAATGCTTGCTTTAATTTTCGCCCAGCTTTCTTCGATTCCATCACTGTCTACGATGTGCACGTTGTCGAGTTTATCTTTGACTCTCTTTTGGTATAGAAGTTTTGTTGATTCGTTCTGCAGACTCTCGACTTTTACCTTTATGGTGTATTCTTCTCTTTTATTTTTATTGTTTTTATTGTTACATATGCGTGTCGTCATTCTGATTTTTCCAAGTATAAGCTTATGGTCGCTTCCTATTTCTGCAGATGTTAGTGCTCTTATGTCCAATACTTGAGAGGGATGTATTACCCTGTTCGTCAGGATGTAGTCTATCATTGACCTTTGACCTCTTGTATTTTCGAATGTGTATTTGTATTGTTCCTTATGAGGGAAAAAAGTGTTGTTGATGCGTAGTTCATTCGTGCTACATAGGTCCGTGAGGAGATCTCCATTTTCATGATTAATACTTACATCAAGAAATTTGTTTTGGTGAAACAACCAATATCGCGATAAGTCCCTGGACTGTTTCTGAAACATTTGCACCGCTACTTTATTCGATGAGCGATAGAAATATGGAGGCAACTATATAAATATATATAAATAATGAACAAAAATAAACACAAAATGTTGTTATTTATTTTTTCTAAAGCATTTTTTCTTATTTCTTTCAGATTCAACAGATCACTCACTAGACCACCCAGAAGGCGGTCCTGAACCAACGGTAATCACCCATATCAATACAACAAACACCGATGGCCACTTATTGCTATCAACGATAAATATTTTAGACCCAAAAGCTGATTCGTCACTCAACAATACTATTTCAAGTCAGAGTAGTATGCCAGCACCACCGAACGACTTAATAAATCGTCATATAAAAGGCTCGATTGATAAAGAACTTAATAAAGGCAATAACACATTTAACACAAGCACTAAAGATATTAAAATAAACATCCTGAACAGTGGGTTGGGAGCACAAGGAACAGCAGGGAGTCATAGTTCCGAGAAGGCTGTGGTAGAGAAAAATAAATCGGAAGTGCCGAAAGATAGTGTCATTTCTGAAAATAATGCAAAGTTAGGCCATGATTTGAAATTAGTTGAAGTAAATAAGAGCATCAGTTCCAAAATGAATGAAATTGTTCTGGAGAACGGTGAGTACAAAAGCACGAAATCTTTATTTTTGTTTTTAGAATTTAATTTTCTGAAAAAGGATTATTTGGTAATTTGATTTTCAAATTTAATTGCTTTATGTTCTTGTAGCTTTTTGTTTTAAAAAGGTTTTATTAATACTTATACACACATTATATTATACGGACAAAGAAAGAATGAAAAAATAATATCACGAAGAGAAATTACAATATTAAAAAACTTAAGGAAAGAGAAGTAAAAAATAAATATGAAGACGAAATACATAAAATTCTACAACCATGTCATCAAAATTGCCATACAGATCAAGCCTGGAAACAAATTAAATCTGCTGTAAGAGAAGCTAGAGAGAACATAGTTAAAAGCGACTTCAATAAAAGTAAAAACAAAGATTGATTTGTCCAAGAGTGGCAGATGATAGCAAAGGAAAAGAGGAAGAGCAGACAACCATTATTATAATAATAAATAGATAATGAAGATTGTAAAAAACAAGAATATAAAATAAATCGTCGGGAACTTCAGCTCTGTGAAGAAAGAAAAAGATCATGAATGTGTTGCTTGTGTGAGTCCATTTCAAATAGGTTAAGAAATAATAAATAAGACTTACTCACAATCAATTTAATTTAACTATCAGACGACCGGTTTCGCTTTCTACAACATGCAAAGCATCTTCAGGTCTCGATACAAAGTTAAATAAATGATGCCGGTACTCTATTAATTGATGGATGGTAGAACATGGTTGAAACTACTATGTATTGTTGAATGGAGAACTCAATTCTGCTATTGTAGTTGTAACGGTAAATGGGAAGTTCTTGAGGAGATAGATTTGATCCAATGAAGCACACACACATATCTCTGCTTTACCTATAAAGAAAAAGATATATAATAATAAGTTAAAATTAATTGGATTAAAATTGTTTACACACCTCAAAAATACTTCCCCCTTTACCATCTTTTGACAAATAAAAGGCACTATCTTTAAGCGAATATAAGTTTGAAATAGTAGACAATTTCAAATATTTAGGATCAATAGTTACAGAATGAAATAAAAATAGTGATGAGGTAACAGCGAAAATTTCAGTTGGAAACAAAGGCTTCTACAGCCTACAGACTATTATAAAGTCAAAATTAGTATCTATTAACTTAAAAATAAAAATATACACAACAATTGTGATACTTATAGTAAAGTATGCATCAGAAACATTGACTAGTGAACAAGAGGAATAATTAATAGAGGATCTAGATAGAAAACTAAAATTTTAAGGAAACTATATGGAAATATACAGAAGAATATAAAATGGCGTATAAGAATAAACCATGAAATAAATAGAATATTTAATAGACCGGCTATCACAAAAGAAATGCGATGTAAACGACTGAGTTGTTTGGGACACGTAGAAATGGTGGATGATAAGAGAAGTACAAAAAACAGTACTTAGAAAAGAATTAAAGTTCGGAAGAGACCGAGAGGTAGGCCCAAAAAGAGATGGATTGTTGGTATTAACCAGGATTTAAAAGAACTGGCAATACAAGAATGGGGAAAATAAGCAAAGGAAAGAAAAACATGGTCTACTATAAGCAGGGAAGTAAAATATATATGGCACTGAAATCATCTCCTCAAAGAAGACAACCTAGGAAGTATTGATTTTAGATATAAAACGTTAGACTTTTTGTGGCCTGTGGCTAGCCTACACATTATGTAAAACTTTAAAGCCTAGAAACCCCAACGGGCAACTGTGAGCTATCAGTGTCACAGATAATGGTGATGATTATGATCTCTAGTTATCCGATGTTTGTGCTTAGTTATGTATTTTATTTCCACTGTCATTCCTTTAGCTTTTGACCTGGGATCCTTTAGAATCTGTTGAGCCTTTTCAAATTCTACCAGTACTTCATCATTACCCGCGCATTTTATATTATCACTTTCATCTAACACGATTTCTTGCAATGTTATCAAAGTGAGTTTGTCACATTTGGTATTATCTACTCTGTCGTTCAAAAGAATTCAATTATGAGCCTTGATTTGGTTCGCTTGTGGCTAGAAAACTTTTTTTTGTGTTAACTTATTTGTAAAATTTTCTGTGTTTGTGTTCTCTATTTAATTTTTCCATTTCTTAGAACTCTTTGTTGCCGTTTTTTCTGGTTGTGCTTTTGTTTTTCCTTTCTTCTGTTTACTCGATATTCTTCAACATTGCTCCTAGTCCGTCATTTGGTTATTTTTGGATACCCGTTTTTTTTGGGTACTCGTTTGCATTCCCTATCAAACCAGTTGTTTGCTGCTCTTTAAGTACCTCACCCAATACTTCATTAATACGTCTTTTGCAGCGTGGTTTTTAAAACTGCAAATTGTGTTAAATTTAGTGGGATCTACTTCACTTCTGGGATGTTCTGACCGTTTACGATCTAAGCGTATTTGAAAGTTTCTTACGACGTCAATACATTTTAATTTATGAGCTTATTGGCTTATTCTTATCATTCCTGGCATTTGATACACAAGCTCTGAGACTCTCAGCTATGAGATAGTGATCAGATTCAATATTAGCACCTCTATAACTTCTCAAGTCTAATATATTTGATCCATGTCTTGAATCAATCAGAACATGGTCGATCTGATTTTGGGTCTGTTGATTTGGGGATATTCATGTCATTTTATGTATACGCTCATGTTTGAAATATGTACTACTGGTCATCATGTTCAGAGATGCTGCGAAATTTACAAGTCCCGTCTTATTATCACTGCATCCTTCATGTATGGTATTAAGTTGGTCTCTATATCTCTTCTTGTCCTACTTTAGCGGTAGTGTCACCAACAATCAACTTAACGTCGTTATTGGGATATTGTGTATATGTTTGTTCTAATTTTTCATATAATTCTTCTTTTTCTGAGTCTGTTTTATCTTCCGTGAGAGCAAGGGCATTTATGAAACTGTAGTTTAAGAATACCCCACGTATTCTTAGAATACATGGGGCATACATTCTTCTGAAAGTACCGGTTTTTTCCATCATACTCCTTGTATAGCTGTTATGTCCATATTATATTTCTTGAGAGTGTCTAAAAGGGATCATATCGCTTCTGCAGAGTACAATGTTCTCACATTCTATGATCCAAACTGAATATCCTTTTTTCATTTGCCACATCCTCTTCATATGGTCCGTCCGGTTTTGTCACCGTTTCACCTCTCGTAACAATGCTGTTTTTCCAGCTTAGGGTTGTTAGCCCTACGCCCAATCCCCAGACTCGAAGGACCAGGGACTCTACCGTTAGGATTGCCATTAACATCCTTAGTGTGTTTTAGTTCGAAGGTGGTATTTTATTTTCCACTTCTCTGACGGTCCTAGGACTGGTTAAAGTGTTCCCCTATCAACCATCTGGGGATTTTGGTATCTAGTTAAGTAAAAGAATGTGGCGTAAAGTTTGAATTTAAACAACTATTTTTAAAAATTTTACATTTATCATAAATCTAAGTCTCTCACTTATGATATTTTTTTCAGCATCTACAACAGAGTCCACTACGTTAATTACTACGAATATTGCTACAGATTCAACAATACCAACAATTACCACTGATTTTACAACACCGGATAACACATATGTAACTCCTTCGACTTATACAGAAACAGAAACTACATATTCACCCTACAGCACTTATGAACCAACTACAATAATACCTCATTCCATTATTCTTGGTGTAAATATTAGTGATTCAACTAATATGCCTACCTTTTCCAATCGGTTCGGAAGTAATACAACTACTCATGATGCCGTTACTTCCTCAACGCACCATCACAGAAACGGAACTCATAAGTCTAGCACACATCGATACCACAAACATACAGCAGCAAGTAGTACCGAAAGTACTGGACATAGTTACCATAGGTTCAACAAATACACTAATCATCATTACGGAACCAAAAGAACCCATACTGCTAGTACTTCTAGTGGGCATCACAGATTTAAACCAACACATAGACGCACTTATGTACATAATCGTTTTTCAGATACCACTGAAACAACAGATACTAATCCAAATAGTACTAATATCTCTAATAACAATGTAACGACAGTTACTTCAACTACTAGTAGATACCACAGATATAAACCAGTTCACAAAAATCAACATAGTTATCATCGGTACTCCAAAACTAATACTAAAAAAGACACTGCTTTAAACAATACCAATTTAGAAGTCAATGGTACAAGCACTGCTCCTGTAACACATGCCACACATAGGTATCACAGATATAAACCAGTTCATAAAAATCATTACAGTCATCATCAGTATTCACATATCAGTAACAAGAGCCCTGCCAATAATGCTACAAAAATAAATAGTACTGACAGCGAAGATAATAATACTGAAACAACAACTATTTCTACTCATAGATACCATAGATACAAACCAATACATAAAACCCATCATAATTACCACAGTTCTCATCATGTAAAAACTACAGAAACTAGTTTGAATGGTAGTACTACAGAAACTAGTAACAACGGCGATAATAATACTGAAACAACTACTATGTCTGTAATATCTTCCAGGACACATAGGTATCATAGATTTCATCCAAAAACAAATATTTATAATGGTAAAAATATAGAGCGTTCACATAATAAACCTTCAGGTAGTTATTTTTATACTACCAGACACCATTCACATAATAAACAAGGCAACGATGGAGATTATACTACAACAGAAATGTCAATAAACAAAAATATATATCAGAAGTATAGATATCGCAACCACTTTTCCAATAGTTTTTTAAATCGTCCAAGTTCAACAGACAATCCCAACTCCACTTCTTCCAACACGATCACTCCCAATACTACTACTTCTTCATTAGCATTAGAAAAAACCGATAATCTAAATAGTACTAGTTCTGAGACGTCAACAAGTGCCTATGAAAGATTTAGGCATCATAGACCTAGTTTTTTAAATTCTCGATTTGGAACGGTTAATAATCACGTAGCAATTCATCACAGCAATACATCTTCACAACCAAATGCAAATAATAGTAACAGTAATGGCACAAAATCTGAAGGACCTACTATAAATCCTAAAGGAGATAGTGGAACAGATACTACAACTGAAATATCTAGCACTTACGCATACGACAGGTATAAAAGAATGCGTCATAGAATGACCTTTAAGCCTCATTCAACCATAACCAAACATATACATCCTTCTGAATCTAATACGTCTGAAAGTATGGAAAATGAAACAACGACTATTAGACCTATTTCAAGAACTAGTATATATCAACGATATCGAAACGTTCATAGACCTATGCAAGTGAAACCTTTAATACAAGTCAATCATAAAGAAACTACGGTAACTTCTGATGAAGCAACAATAAGTGAACATACGACACAGCCTGGAATAACAGATGAAATCACTAGTGTGTATGACAGATATAGAAAATTCCGTCACAGGATGAACTTTAAGCCACACGTGGAAACTTCCAAGGGTACAACTCAAACTCATTCGAACACATCTGAACCCAGTCCAACTGACAGTATTGGAAATGAAATTACGACCCAAGAACCTACTGAAAGTACCAGTGTATATGATAGATTCCGTCACGCTCATAGACCTAGATTAATGAGGCCATTAGTGCAAGTCAGACATCAAGAAACAACTCAAACTCTTTCAAACTCATCTGAACCCAATTCAACGGAGAGTTTTGGTAATGAGATTACAACTCAAGAACCTACTGTAAGTACCAGTGTATATGAAAGATTCCGTCATTTGCATAGACCTATGCGGATGAGACCATTAATGCAAGCTAGACATGAAGAAACAACTACTCTTGATCCAACTGATACTACTCAAATTCATTTAAATCCATCTGAAACTATTTCTACCGACAGATATGGAAATGAAATTACAACAGAAGAACCTACTGAGAGTACTAATGTGTATAGTAGATTCCGTCATGCATATAGACCTATGCGTATGAGACCATTAATGCAAGCTAGACATGAAGAAACAACTACTCTTGGTACAACTGATACTACTCAAATTCGTTTCAATCCATCTGAATCCATTCCTACCGACAGATATGGAAATGAAATTACAACAGAAGAACCTACTGAGAGTACTAGTGTGTATGATAGATTTCGTCATGCACATATACCTATGCGTATGAGACCATTAATGCAAGCTAGACATGAAGAAACAACTACTCTTGATCCAACTGATACTACTCAAATTCATTTAAATCCATCTAGAACTATTGCTACCGACAGATATGGAAATGAAATTACAACAGAAGAACCTACTGAGAGTACTAGTGTGTATGATAGATTCCGTCATGCACATAGACCTATGCGTATGAGACCATTAATGCAAGCTAGACATGAAGAAACAACTACTCTTGGTACAACTGATACTACTCAAATTCGTTTCAATCCATCTGAATCCATTCCTACCGACAGATATGGAAATGAAATTACAACAGAAGAACCTACTGAGAGTACTAGTGTGTATGATAGACTCCGTCATGCACATAGACCTATGCGTATGAGACCATTAATGCAAGCTAGACATGAAGAAACAACTACTCTTGATCCAACTGATACTACTCAAATTCATTTAAATCCATCTGAAACTATTCCTACCGACAGGTATGGAAATGAAATTACAACAGAAGAACCTACTGAGAGTACTAGTGTGTATGATAGATTCCGTCATGCACATAGACCTATGCGTATGAAACCATTAATGCAAGCTAGACATGAAGAAACAACTACTCTTGCTACAACTGATACTACTCAAATTCGTTTAAATCCATCTGACTCCATTCCAACTGACAGATATATAAATGAAATTACAACAGAAGAACCTACTGAGAGTACTAATGTGTATGATAGATTCCGTCATGCACATAGACCTATGCGTATGAGACCATTAATGCAAGCTAGACATGAAGAAACAACTACTCTTGCTACAACTGATACTACTCAAATTCATTTAAATCCATCTGACTCCATTCCAACTGACAGATATGGAAATGAAATTACAACCCAAGAACCTACTGCAAGTACTAGTGTCTATGAAAGATTTCGTCACGCTGGTAGACCGGTACATATGAGACCATTAATGCAAGTCAGACATACAGAAACAACTAACTCTGATATTATTGATACAACTGATTCTACAACAGATGTTACAATAACAACTGATACAACTGATGTAACCAGTTTATATGACAGATATAGAAAATTCCGTAATATCCATAGACCTGTACATATGAAACCCATAATAACTACAGTAGAACCTAATACTTCCGAAACTGCATACGATCTGCAAGATAATGAAAGTTCGACTATAACGGAAGCTGCTACAAATATTCCTGAAACAAGTAGGCCACGTATACATATGAGACCGCGTATTTCCCAAGTGAACCATAATGAATTCAGTGCCCATTCACAGTATCCAAAAAGAATGCTATTTAATAGACATCTTTATGATAGGCGACCACTTAGCCAACACAAAGCAATTATTAAAGACGACAATAATGAAGATACCGAAACTACAATAGCTCCAGAACTTTCTGGTAATGAACACACTGAGAATAGACAGAGACATCCAAACCAAAGAAGTTTTTCTGGAAATGAAGATGACGATTCAGTTAACTCAGTTCAAACACGAGAAGATATGGTAGATCATGACACTAATTATCGTCAACCGATTCACATGAGACCCCGATATTTGGCAACTCATAGAAGACCTTCTGATGCAAACGAGAATTATGACGAATCAGATTTAGACCCTGAAGAATCTGGGTATAAAGTAAGAAGACGAGTACATAATCGGCACTTGCGCAGAAGATCACAACATTATTACCCAGAATCAGATGCTCCGGAATATTATGGCGCATATGGTAAAAATATTCCTGAAGATAGAAACAATGATGGCATACCTCCTAAATTTCAGAATCAAATAAGTCAAAATTTAGCTACAAAAACCGATTCAATAGGAGTAATGTACGAAGAGGATCCTGTAGGCCATGATCATGAGGGCCATATCAAAGTTAAACATTCTATATCGGATAGCGAATATTTCAATAGTTTGGAAAGCGATGACAGTTTTCAAGTAAACCCTTTACGTGCTGATGCTTTTGCTAGTGAATCCATAATAAATAGAGAAGACCGGGATACCTTTGGGACAAACACTTCAAACATCGTTTTAAACGATGAAGAAAAAAACGCATCAAAGACGAAGACCAAACAAAATGAATCGTTAAGTGAAAATACTAGTGAACATAAAAGGGATGACAGAGGTGAGCAATTTTTATTTAATTTTATATTAATGTTTTACACTGAAAATATAAAACCACAATTATTTATAATGATAATTACATATATTTTCTTTTTCTATTTTCAATACGGAAAATGCTTTTAAAAACATCGTGAAGTGCTAAGGGACAAAATTTATCGGTAATCTAAACCATTAGTCATGTTTATACTTTTACTGCTAAAAATTCTCAGAGACGTTGTTAAACCGTTCTTTGATATTAAAATATGATATTTTTGTGTTTGTTTTATATGTTATAGTTAAATATAGTTGATACATCTCTAAACTGCTATTAACGAGGCCAAGTAAGTTGACTATCAAATACATTAGAGGAAAATCATCATCATCATTATCAATCAGCCAATCGCGTCCACTGCTGGACATAGGCCTCCCTCAGTTCTTTCCAGTGTTCTCTACACTGGGCCGCTTGTAGCCAGTTTCCCGCTACATGTTTTATATCATCGGTCCATCTAGTCGGTGGTCGTCCTCGGCTTCTTTTATAGTTTTTGGGCCTCCATTCCATAATACGTCTTGTCCACCGTCCATCTTGTGCTCTGGCTAAGTGCCCTGCCCAGTTCCACTAAGCGACGTGGTTCTTTCGATGACGTCTTGAACTCCTGATCTTTGCCTAATTTGTTGGTTTGTTACGGGGTCTCGAAGGCTCACGTTCAGCATTACACGTTCCTTGGCTCGTTGTGTAACTCTGAGTTTATTCGCAGATTTTTGCTTGAGTGTTAAAGTCTCTGCTCCATAAGTTTGTACAGGTAAAACACATTGGTTAAAAACCTTTCGCTTGAGACACATGGGAATTGAACTTTGTAGAATATGGCTTAATTTGCCAAATGCTGCCCAAGTTAGGCCTATTCGCCTCTGTATTTCATGTGTTTGATTGTCTCTGCTTATTTTGATTTCGTGTCCCAGATATTTGTAAGTGTTTGTTGTATGGTATTATTGTCAATAGTTATATTATTATATAACTAGTTTACAAGACTGATTACCACTAATCACTGATGACCACTAATTACGAGATTTGTTATAAGTTTAGTTTTCTCAAAGTTTATCTTTAATCCTGCTCTTTCAGACAGACTTTTAAGCGAATACATCATAGAAACTGTATCTTGTAAATGATCTGCGATTAATACAACTTCATCTGCAAATCTGAGGTGACTTAATCTTTCTTCATCTATATTGATGCCCATATCTTGCCATTGAGTGCTCTTAAATATTGACTCTAGAGCTGCCGTGAACAATTTTGGTGAAATATTGTCTACTTGTCTTACTCCTCGACCTAAGCTGACTTTTTCTGTGTCTTCGTGTACTAGTATACTTGTAGTGTTCTCATAGATGTTTTTGATTAGTGTCGTGTACCTGTAATCTATTCGGCTTTGATTTAGGGCTTCCAGTATTGTTTCAAACTCTACAGAATCAAAAGCCTTCTCGTAATCGACAAATGCAAGAACCAGTGGTATGTTGTACTCGATGCACTTTTCTATTAAGATCTTTATGGTATGCAAATGGTCATTTGTGCCATATCCTGCCCTGAAGCCTGCCTGTTCTTTGGGCTGATAGAAATCAAGTTTAGGTATTAGCCTCTTTGTTAAGATTTTCATAAAGAGTTTGTACATATGTGTCAAGAGGCTGATGGGTCTATAATTTTCTAATTTAGTAATATCGCCTTTTTTGTGTAACAAGACTATTACTGCATTGTTCCAGTCTTTTGGAATCGTACTCGTGTGTAAGCATTTATTAAACAGTTCGCATACTGATTTTAATAAACTTTCTCCTCCTGCTTTTATTGCCTCGATAACGAGTCCATCATCACCAGGCATTCGATGGTTCGTCATTTCCTTTAAAGCTGCTCTTACTTCTGACACAGTAATGGGTAAACGTATTTCCGATCCCTGATTTATGAGAGTCTTTACTCGTGTCGAGAAATTGTCTTGTGGTCTTTGGCTGGTATAGAGGTCTTTATAAAACTCTCTTGTTATTTTCAGAATCTTTTGTTTATCTGTTGTTGCCTTTCCGTCTTTATCTCTCAGCTTGTATATTTCTTTTTTACTTTGTGTGAGTTTTCTTTTCATTATCTTTAAACCTTTGTTCTCTTCTACTGTTTGAGTAATTACATTAGTATTATATCTTCTTACATCTTTTCTAATTTCCGCTGAAATTCTTTTATTTAATCATTTTATCTATCAAAAGCCTTCTCGTAATCGACAAATGCAAGAACCGGTGGTATGTTGTACTCGATGCACTTTTCTGTTAAGATCTTTATGGTATGCAAATGGTCATTTGTGCCATATCCTGCCCTGAAGCCTGTGTGTTCTTTGGGCTGATAGAAATGAAGTTAGGTGTTAGTCTCTTTGTTAAAATTTTCATAAAAAGTTTGTACATATGTGTCAAGAGGCTGATGGGTCTATAATTTTCTAATTTAGTAATATCGCTTTTTTGTGTAACAAGACTATTACTGCATTGTTCCAGTCTTTTGGAATCGTACGCGCGTGTAAGCATTTATTAAACAGTTCGCTTACTGATTTTAATAAAATTTCTCCTCCTGCTTTTATTGCCTCGATAACGAGTCCATCATCACCAGGCGATCGATGGTTCTTCATTTCCTTTAAAGCTGCTCTTACTTCTGACACAGTAATGGATAAAAGTATTTCCGATCCCTGATTTATGAGAGTCTTTACTCGTGTCGGGAAATTGTCTTGTGGTCTTTGGCTGGTATAGAGGTCTTTATAAAACTCTCTGGTTATTTTCAGAATCTTTTGTTTATCTGTTGTTGCCTTTCCGTCTTTATCTCTCAGCTTGTATATTTCTTTTTTACTTTGTGTGAGTTTTCTTTTCATCATCTTTACACCTTTGTTCTCTTCTACTGTTTAAGTAATTACATTAGTATTATATCTTCTTACATCTTTTCTAATTTCCGCTGAAATTCTTTTATTTAGTTTTTTATATTCTTCTTTGTTTCCCTTTTCGTTCTCGCTTAGGTTTCGTCGTATTTCGATAAGAGCTTTTGTATTTTTGCTAATCTTTTCACTTTTGGTGTCATTTTTTTTTGCAAAATTTGAGTTGTGCATTTCTAACCGAGTCTGTTATTAATTTATTGTGATCATCGATACTTAGAGATTTGGGATTATTACTCTGTAAATTTTCGGCTATATTTTTTATGTATAGAGGAAAATTCATTTATAATATTAAACAATATTTATATAATGCACAATGTTGATAAATATATTTTTTCACTTGGAATAGAGCATATACATCATGGACATTTTATATATCGATACATTTTTGGCAAAGTAACGTAAGTGACATTTTTGGCGAAAATAATGTTTTTCAATTAAACTAATGCTATTACTGTTAAAAAGGCACTGAAAGAGTGTAGTAAGCCTAGAATTACTTTAAACCTTTTTTAGCACAAGTAGGACAAGTTTTTTCAGTCATAATTTAAATAATTTTAAGCAGGTTGAATTAAAAAATTGTTTTTTCTACAAATCGTTTTTGGTGACTTACGTTACTTTGCCAAAAATGTATCGATATGTCTATGGCCTAGAACTGAATGGAGTTTAGAATCGTAACAAGTGAAAATTAAATTAAATTAAAAATAGCAAACATGTGACGCTTCTAACGTTACAACATGAAGGTCAGCTGATAATAACAACAAAATAGAAATCAAATAGATTATATTAATGTCAAGGGAAGGTATAGAAATTATATAATATCATCCAAAACTTATCCAGAAGCAAACATATCCTTCGATCACATCCCGGTTGTTTTGTAGATGACAGTGAAACGAAAGATTGTAAAGAGAGCTCTAGCTCCAAGAAAATCGTGGATCCAAGGCAGCTCAAACAAGACAACACATTGTGCGGAAACTCTAACTTCAATCATTGAATGTTACTGGATTTGCACTTCGAATGTGCCGCTGGTAAATAGTCAAAACCACGTGTGAAAAATACTTTATTTTATTTAAATTAGCATAATACATGGATATATGACGGTTGGCGTCCGTCCCGCCAATTTGTATTATGTTTCGCTTCGCACTTCGCCGGATCACCGGTCTCGTTTTTGAATCTTGTGTATAGCTTTTGCAATTTGTTTTTAAGACTTATCTTAATCTTCGCATTCAACACATATATCTCCAGACACTGCTACGTTGCCGTATCGGAAAAATGCATGAAATCAACTTAAAACATATGATGTCGTGAACAATCATAAATGGGGAAAAAGTCTACATGCCGTTGTGTTAGTTTTAAAATAATCCCTTGTGGCACTTGGAGAAAAAAGAAAACTCGAAAAAGAAAGAAGAAAGAAGAAAAGAAGAAAGAAAAAAACATAAAGCAAAAAACCTGAATTAAAAAAATCAAAGAAATGGCAGGTTCTAGAAATAGCACAAGACCCTATATCCTTAAAAATGATAAAGAGAAGATTATTACCGGTGTGAAGTAGAGGTGGTATTACTGGACAAATTACGTTCTACAACTATCCAATAATGAAAGACAAAAACTGTCATTAGAAACCAAGAGGATACTGAACAACAAATATTACCTATGAAGAAGTCATCTATATAAAAAAAACAAATCATGGCAATTCTACTTGACCAGATGATGTATGCATCGAATTATTAAATCTCATTGATGAAGCTGTAATTGATCTAATGGTTAAACTCTTTAATCTAATATATCGTACTGCCATAATCCCCAGACAATGTCTGTAATGGACCTTTGTAGCAATTCTCAGAAAGTTAAGTGCATTAACCTGCTCAGATCACAGAACAACAGCTTTAATGAGTCACACACTTAAGTAAACCAATTTTGAAAATAATATGCAGCAAAATTATTAAACAATAGAGTATAATAGACCAGCATTTCTGTTTCTGTATCTAATTGACCTCAAGAAAACGTTTGACAGAGTAAGACTCAAAGATGTAATCCATCTTCTGTATAATAGAAAAGTTCACCTAAATATTATAAATACTATCGAAAA